AGCACCACAATTTAAAAGCATCAATTCTTTGGCGGTCAGCTTTCTTTATGGTCCCGCTCTCGCTTCCATACATTGCTACTGGAAAAACCATAGCTTTGACTATGCAGACCTTTGTCAGCAAGGCGATGTCTCTGCTTTTTAAGATGCTGTCTAGGTTTGTCATTGCTTTCCTCCCAATCTCTATCTAAAATTCCTCAATTAAGGAGAATCCAACTTGAACCTGAACCTGAACCTTAAGGGAGTTTGTTTCCTTGTCAAATACCTCTTACTCTCAGAATGTTTTTCCCAATGTTTAGCTGAAATCTCCTTTTTGTAATTTAAATTGATTGGTCTGAGTCCTACCCTCTGAAGCTGCAGGAAACAAGCTTCCTGCATCTTCCAGTCCTGACTGGGGTTTCTGGGAGTTGCAGTTCAAAAGCGTCCGAGTAAAAAAGGTTAAGAACCACTGTTTTAGACCTTTTGTCAAAGGTTCCTCACTGGGCTTGATTCTCACAATTTGGCCACTCTCCTCTACCCAGAGTGATGGGAAAGTAACTCTTCAAATATAATTTTTTGGTCATCTCCTCTCCAAGCTAAATACTGTATACTATAGACATTTTGTCAAAGGTTCCTCACAGGGCTTGATTCTCAAAATTTAGCCACTCTCCTCTACCCAGAATGATGAATAAAAATATGTAGAGGTAGGATGTACTGGAAGTAGACAGCTTTTTTCCCCCCTTTAATATTTCTAAGAAATTTTTGAAGATCCCGTTTTCCAGACCTTAGCAGAAAAGTATTCTGGTTTGATTAGGAAGGCAGATTTTGGTCTCTGAGGGCCTCTAGTGGATAAAGTGAATGTACATCTGTTTAGTTCAGGTTATAAAAAGGAAATAAAAGGAAGACAAAGATTGTATTTTTAAAATAAAAACATAAATGTCACCATATGAGCCAACACTTTTCTAACAATAATTTTAGAGAGGTGAGTATGATTTATCAGGAGTACCTCAGGAGTTCATGTCTACTATGACAAGCATGGGGCTGTCCCACGTGGTATCTAGCTCTACATGTTGCAGGGCACACTCTTGATCTGTTTTTCTGTATTATGCAGGATGATGATGATGATCTGGGTGTAGAGGAACTCTCAGTAGCTCCATGGTCATGGACGGTTCACTACCCAATAGGGTTTATGCTTATTGGAATTCTGAGCCTCTGCAGAGGTGAGAGACCAATTAAAATGCCTAAGAGACAAATGGATCCCAATGGTCTCCTGATGGCTTTTGAGGAGTTTCTGGCTGTTTGGGCAGGCAATCTTGTCAAGGCCATGGCAGATTTCTGGAATGCAAAGGTGGCCAGGTTTATTGACATGATTGCTCCTAAGCATCCTCTCCAACAGTGTGCAGTAAAACTAGCTCCTTGGTTTACTAGAGAGATGAGGATAAGTAGGATGAGACTAGAATGATAATGGCAAACAACTTGGAGCAAATCTGATCAAACGTGAGCTGGAGTTCATTGGGGAGCCTTCTGCATGTCAGTGGTGGCAGCAAAGCAGCATTTCTCTGCCACCATTTCAGTTTCACAGACCCATCCAGTGAAGCTCTTTTGAGTAGTCAAGAGTCTTTTGCACAGATGTCCATAAGAAAGATTTAATGTCCACTCAACAGCCTGCTATGAAGGCACTTTGCAGACAAAGTCACTAGGATCCACTCAGACTTAGATGCTGTAGTTGATGCAGGTCCTGTTGTAACTTCGGCCCCTACTTGTCCTGTTATAAAGGATACATTTCAGTTGGTACAGCCTGAGAATGTGGACAGGATCTTTGGAAAGATGAAAACCACCACATGTGCGCTGGATGTTTGATCTTCCTGGCTTATAAAAGCACCCAAAAAAGAGGGAGTGGTGAACGCTTCTTTGCAGCAAGGCAGGGTACCAGCATGCCTAAAGGAGGCAGTCGTGAAACCTTTTTTAAAAAGCCCTCCTTGAATGCCGCTGTATTGGATAATTATCAGCTAGTCTTCAATATTCAGTTTTTGGGCAAGGTTTTGGAATATGAGGTGGTGTTCCAGTTCTAGAGGTTCCTGGATGATACGGATTATCTATCTTTATCCATTTCAATCTGCCTTCAGGCCTGGTTAAAGAACAGAGATATCTTTGGTCGCCTTGGTGGATAACCTATGCTGGGAACTAGATGGGAGACCGTGTCCCTGTCGGTTCTGCTGAACTTCACAGTGGTTTTTGATACCCCAAACCATGGTATCCTTCTGTGTGCCGTTCTATGATGGATCTTGGATGTACTGTCTTACCATGGTTCCAATCCTTCCTGGATGGCTAAACTCAAAAGATGATATTGGGTGAATCTTGTTTGACACCTGACATGAGAAAGGGCCTTCTCAGTGGCTGCTCCTAACCTTTGGAATGGGCTGTCCCAAGAAGCCAGGTTGGCTGTCTCCCTCTTGTCATTCCATCATCAGGCAAAGATATTCCTCTTCAGGAAGGCTTTCCAACAATAAGTGAGAGTCTAGGGAATGCTCTATTTATAAAATTTAGATATTTTAAAATGTTCTTTGTAATATTTCTAAATTTGTTTTTGATTTTCATTAATGTTTTTTTAAATACAGTTTTGTACAGTATTTTAAGTCTGTCATTATTGTACAGTTCCAATTATTATTAACCACCTTGTATCCCCTATGGGGAGCAAGGTAGTTCTAAATAATATAAATGAATACAACAAATAAATAATTCTACTTTTCTGGCGTTCTTACATGGGTTGCCAAGAAAGCTTGAAAATAACTTTAAAATACAGTACTATTTTTGAAAAGTTTTAAATAGTCAAATTATGCTTGTTTTTGAAACCTTTATATTCATCCATCCATTTATTCATTTAAAATATTTTTACCTCACCTTTCTCCTTAAAGCTGCTCAGAGTCATATAGTCCTGGGGTTCTCCAGCACCATCTTTGAGACTACTTCAGTTAGCTCAGTATGAAGACTGCTAGATAACAGGTGAAACTGTACACAAAAAAATGTAGCTTTTCCTTTTTTTGTGGCCCAAAACTAGGTACAGACACTTGAAACTGGTACAAAGCTAGATGGTTCTCCTTAGGCAGATAGTTTTCCTTAGGAGAGAGATGGAATCCTCACAAATGATAGTGACTCCTCTTCCTCCTTCCTCCTCTCCCAACCCCTCATTCTGTGTTGCTGCTTACTGAGTACCTTGGTGAACAGAAATAAGTCATATAAACCCCACCAAGCCCAGCCAGCCAGATCTTGATAGTGCATGCCAATTGGTTGTTTTGTTATGGAATGACTATAGCAGACTCTCAAGACTGAGAACAGGCTGATAGGTCAACAAAGATCTTGAAGGGTGAAGAAAGGACCAAAGGATAGGACAGCTTTCAGATATATTTTCTGTAATTTATTTAGTTGCTACATATGTCCACCCTGCAGTGCTGTACCTCCTTCCTCAATGAAAGTTCTTTGCTCTCACCAAGCAGATATATTAATGGAAAGGTTAGGAAGTGTGATAGAATTAAAAACTTTGGTCATACAAAATCCACAGTAGTATACCATGTAAAGTAGTACAAAATGTAAACAACTCACAAAATGCAATATCGAAGAACTGCTGTGTTGGCTTAAAACAGCATTCTGAGTTCAATGTCAATAACAACCAGGAATGCTTAAGTGTTCTCCTCAGAAAGAATAGTTAACAGGAACTGCTGGAGAGCCCAGTGGTCTAGGAAACAGGGGTTGGGAATCTGATTCTGCACTGTGACTCTTTGACAGGAATGGACTTAATGATTCGTAGGTTCCCATCCAGCTCTGTAGTTCAATTATGATGATGCAGATGATGATATTATTTGGCTGGGGCATTCACTAAGTCCATAATCCAAGACCTCTGTCCATCTTTCAGTTGCTACTTCTTCCCTCCAACCTCTGCATCTCTTACAGGAGTTCTGAAGGCAGCCTTTAGTCTGTACTGTGCAGCTTGACTAATTTGTCCTGCTTCTTCTTTGTCCATACCCTTCTGTTTACTCTTTGGTATGATGGCAATGTGGATAAAGGATTCGCTGGTACTAAGCATAGGTTGCTCGGATACCTTGGTGATTTAAAATGGGAGTTCGATTTCTTACTGTGCCTCTGTGGCTTTGGGCAAGCTGCATAGTCACAGGACATCCCCAGAAGGAGGGAATAGTAAACCACTTCTGTGTATTCTATACCTAGAAAGCCCTGGAAAGGGTCTGCCTTGCTATATAAACCACAAGCATGTGGTTTCTGACAGAAGCCTCTCATCTCTATAGTGATCACCAAACTGAGTGATCAGCAGTGGTGATGACACAAGACGAGATGCTGGAAAATTTACTTTCTTGACTCTAATTCCCAAAATTCACTAGGCCAGGTTGGCTGGGAGATTGTGGAACTTTTACTCTAAAAACCCTGCCCATGACATTGGGAGACTGTAAATGCTCTAGTCTCAGATGAAATCCTAGCTCTTGCCTGGTCAGTATGTCTCCATGTGCACATTTGGGTGTTACCCTCTGGTTCTTTGCTTCTGCCACCAGTTCAGAAGGTGACGAGAGAGAGTCCCAAAAAGCTGTACTTTCCCTTCTTGCTTAGATCTGGCATAGCTCAACCCCATCCTTTCTCCACCTCTTTTTTTCTCAGTTCTGTTGGCAGGACCCTCCGCTGGCAGATCTCCGAGATCAGATGGCAGAAAGGGAATCTTCAATGAGAAGTAACTTCTACCTGTTCCCATTGAGATTCTGCTGTAAGATTTCATCTTATAATCAATGTTTATTGGACTTTTCTTTGAAGACCTATTGTTTAACATTGGTAGAAACTGTCTGGTGAATGCCATTCCCCCCCCCCTCATTCTGATTTATTCAACCAGAAGCATGAATGAAATCTCATAGGAAGAAACAGACAGTAAATAGGACTACATTGCCCAAGATGCAATGGTGTAAATACTGCCTGGAAGCCGACCCTTCTTTCAACACAATCTCTTTAGCAACTCCTCTAGTTTGTCAGTAAGTGGTAAGAAGAGGAAGGCATGTCACAGAGATACTGGGTCCGAGCTATGAAGTGTCAGTTGCTGGTGGCCAGCCTCTTTGTTACGGTAATGAAGTAGGGAACTAATGCAGAAACTGTGCTGACTAAATGACTTTGGTAAAGGTGGATATTTAATTGTTAATGAAACTGTGAATTGAACAGAGTTGTTAAGAGGTGTAGGGAGTGTGTAGTCAAGCTGCAGGATATGGCTAAGGGTCTTATCACTCCTTTACAGCACTGCCTCTTCTTATCCATAGGCTTGTGGTTTGTTGTTCTAAATGAGCTGAGAAAATCCGTTTAGATATTTAACACCTAAAACTTAAGATAGCAATAGTTTGTACTTATAAGAAGTGTCATTTTAACATGTATTACATATGTTTCAATGATTTATTTAAAATACTAGAAAATATGCTCTGTCTAGTAGGGTACTAGTAATTCACATGCCTAACAACTAAAGTTACTAGTACCCTACCAGCGGGAACATATTTAGTAGAATTTTAAATAAATAATTGAAACATGTGTGCTATGTTTCAATAGTTCTTTACTGCTTCCAATACTTGGTTAATAGTTTCACTAAAGGACCTAATTTTCTCATATCTGTCAAGAGAGGTACAGCTTTGGGTGACTTTTTTAATACGTTTTCGAAAACAAAACTTTCCCCTTGTTTTTAACAGAATGTTAAAGCACAACTTGAAAACTTTGCTGAATCTTTAGACTGTATCTTGTTTTAAATATCTTAAAATTACATTGTTGTTTTATTGTAAGCCGCCTAGAGTGGTCTAATACGATCAGATAGGCGGGATAGAAATAAAATAAATAAATAAAATAAATAAATAAATACTGCCAGTACTGAAATTATTTGAGGATTCTTGTAGTGTGGCAAGGTCTCATGCTGGCCGCATTGAGTAGGAATGAGGACTCGCCTCCTGCCCAACCCTCCACCACCACCACCCCAGCATCTGCTGCACGTGATGGAAGCTAGGAGTAAAATGTGTTTGGTTTCTGCAGCAAGCACCTTTCTACCCCCCCCCCAGCATCTGGTGCATGTGATGGAAGCTAGGAGTAAAGTGTGGTTGGTTTCTGCAGCAAGCACCTTTCCCATTTTGCGATGACCCAGAGCTGGTTCAGTGAGTTGTGTTAAGTGTCCTAGCTGAGAAAGGTACTGGTTTCTCAGTTTTATGTTAGCATGTGATGTTTAGGCTTGTGCCTGTGCCAAGATTTTGCAAGGCAGCATTGCAAAAGAGAACAGCATTTCCCTGTCTTTCTTTAGTGACTAGTGATGAGCTCTGAGAGCTTCCCCTCCTAACTCTCACCTTCACCTTCAACTCAACTTTGTAGACTTAGGCAGAGGGAATTTCAGCCTTTGGCTCTTGTGAGATAAGACCCAATTTCTTTACTTGGCCTCCACAAGCTGCACAACTGGAGCTACCTTTACATTGCCCTTTAATTTTCCTTGCACTCCAAGGTGTTCCTGGTTGTACCAATTAATATATTTAGGGTGGGAATGCTGGTGTGTGTTCACATGCCTAACAACTGAGGCTAATCTTATTCTGAGGTTTCAGAAGCAGTTTGAAATCAGTAAGTATGCAGGAAAATGAAAATCACGGGCAATAGGTCATGGTTGCATTTCGTTTGGATTAATAGTGCATCGTGGCCCGAATGACATTTCAGTGTATATTTTATGGATTCAAGAGATATACCTGGAAAATATCAGTTATATACCAAGATCAAGTGTGTTAGAAAATATGGCTACAGTCCAATCTTATGTATGCTTACTCAGGAGTATGTACCATGTAGTTCATACAAGAGGTGTGCACATTTTTGTTTTTTTACTACAGCTCCAAGAATTACTCAGGCAGTGTGTAGTCTAAAAACACAAATATGACACCTCTGGTTCATGCATTACTCCTAGGCAAGTATGTGTAGGATATAGCAATGAATTCCTAGTAATAGCTGAGGCTGGGCCCTCTGATTTCTGGTGGTGAACCCTTTCATGGATTTAAGTAGAACTTTCAAGGAACTATCCAAGGTGCTCAGTCCTATCCTCAAAAGGCTCAGTAACCTTTGAACGTCATCAGTGTTTTCACCAAAGCTTGGAGCAGATGTGCTGCTCCTATAGAAAAAAAGTGTGCTGCTTATCTACTGCCTCATAGTGCTTAAAGCACTCTCTTGGCAGGTTACAATTTAATAATGTAGACTACCTGTTACCCCACCCCAGTGAGCGGGATACTCAGTTTACCAACCTTGGAAAGATGAAAGGCTGAGTGAACCTCAGATCGACTACTTGGGACTGAACCCAGGTTGTGACTAAAGTTTTGGCTGCAGTGCTGCAGTTTAACCCCTGACCCACAAGGTTCCAAGTACCATCAGTGGCACCAGCCTCTGTTACATAGCAAAGGTATAGAGATGTGAAATGTGCCTTACATGTTTTGAAGAACATCAAGATGTTAAGAAATTGAAATGATTGGGCAGAAGTTGGGCTTTTCAATAATGGCAGCAAGGAGCTAAAACAAGTGTTTACAATATTATTTTATACAACCTTTACAACTTTGCTTGTTTTAAAATAGCTTGTTGTACCATAGTGTCCTGAGATTTGATCCAATTATATTTTTTAAAAAATATCCAGTGCGGTGTAGTGGTTAGAATAATAGGTGAGGACTCAGAAGTTCTGAGTTCCAGTCCTTGCTCTACCAGGGAAACTCACAGGGGCTATAGCACTGCTAAAACCACTCCTTAAATATCTCACTTACCTTGCTTATAAAAGCTCTGTTAGGGTTGCTCTAACTCAGTTACGTGCATGTACTCCATTTCCCCTTTACAGATAGGTAAGTTCATTATCTAAGTCTGTAAATTTCACAAGTTGAAACACTTACATCAAATTAAAGTATGTACTCTTAGCTTTTCAGAAATGTTATAGAAACACAAATACTGAATTCATGAAAATAAAATTGAACAAACACAGAATTATAAATATCAACGATGGTTTAATACTTTATGGTCTTGGGAAAAGCTATTGAAAAGCATTCAAACACAAACCCAAACAAACTGGGGGTGAAATCTTAAATATTTATGAACTAAAGGGGAAAGACAGATATTGCCTCTAGTCTAGAGAATCTGTTGAAAGCCACTGTTGATCCATTTTGTGTGATATAAAGAGGGTCTGTTGTATTCAAATCAAACTATTAAAGGCCATTCTAGAGGGATACAGAATAGCCCAGAATTGTATTTGCATATGAAAATAGGGTCTTCTTATTGTTTCAATAGGTCTTTCGCTTCTTAGTTTGCACTCTTGGGTGTAGCAGATTATTCGTTAGCAAAAATAAGTTATCTGGCCAAACAGGAAGCAGCTTGCAGCGGTTTGTATGTTCTGTGCCGTTAAGTCATTTCTGACTTATGGGTGATCCTATGATGTTTGATGACTTCCTAAAGGTCCCATCATGGGACGTGGGTGGCACTGTGGGTTAAACTGATGAGCCACTGGTCTGTTGATTGAAAAGTCGGTAATTTGAATCCGCATGACAAGGCGAGCTCCCATTGCTTGTCGCAGCTCCTGCCAACCTAGCAGTTCAAAACCATGCAAATGTGAGTAAATGAATAAGTACCACCTCAGTTGGAAGGTAATGGCATTCCGCATCTAGTCATGCTGGCCACATGACCACAGAAAGTGTCTACGGACAATCACCAGTTCTTCAGCTTACAAATGAGGATGAGCACCATCCCCTAGAGTCGGACATAACTGGACTTAGTTGTCAAGGGGAACCTTTACCTTTACCTAAAAGACCTATCACAAACAGTCCTGTTCATATCTTGCAAACTAAAAGCTGATGCCTTGGCAGCCAGATGGGCAGTATAAAAATCAATCAATCAAACAAACAAACAAACAAACAAACAAGTCAGTCCTAGAGTTGTCCTATTACACAGCTGGCCACATTTACCTGGAGTTTAGGTATTCTGCCTGATGCCCATTTATCACATCAGCCAACCTGGTTTCTAAGCTTTCATTCAAATAACTAAGCAAAAAAAGAAAAGAAAAGAAAAAAGGTAAGCTTCTAGCCCTTTTGACCTGGTGGCATAAGGCCAAAACAAACAAATAAACAAATAAAAAAGATGCAATCAGTGTTTTGGCTGGTTGTTTTGAGAGAAATTTGAGAGAAACTTTCCATTTTGTTGAACTAATGAGTGAAGGCATCCACAGTTTGTCAAGATCCCATAGGCAGATAATCCAAAGACTCTGAGCAAGTGTTTCAGCTATGGGAATACATGGTCCCTACCTGTTTTATAAACAGCCAAAATATGCTTTTAGACCTGTCTGCAAACAATGCATAGAGGGCAATTAGGCCATGGCTGTGAATGCTGATTCAGGGATTAAGGGAACAATAGCTCAGTGGGTATGTAGAACATTTCCAAGCTCTGATATTGTGTAACTTATTGTATTTACTGTTCTGACAAATGGTGGGACCCAGCCCTTGAGGTCCCTTCCAGCTGTACAATTCTATTTTACAGGCTGAAATTCTGTGGCTCAACTCTGTGTACAGTGCTGGTGACGTCAGCAGCAGCAGCAGCAAATCGCAGCAAATCACTGACATCATCCCCATTGTGCACATGGAGCTGCAAAACAGGGATTTCAGCCTTTGAGTCTATGATTGCACATCAAATCCTGTTCCATTTTTATAGGCTTTTGGAAGCTTAGTTGTTTGCTGCACTAAGGAAGGGAAGAGTTGGCATAAATAAGTGCGGAAAAGGAGGGGGGGATATAAATTATTAGAACCTTTTCCTTGTTGTTACAGCTGTTGTTGTTGAATGATGGTTGCTGTGAACCTTACATTCTATTCAGAAGTTTTAAACAATGATAATGATGTTATAAAGTATTTTTCTTATAGAATTATAAGAATGTTATGATTCTACATATACTTGTCTTGATATTCCCCTTTGAACTACTTTCTCAGGTGTATACTATATTAAATGACTCTTACATTCCAGTTATTGAACATAGGAAATTGATATATTTGCACTTAATTGAAGCAGAGATTAGAAAAGCTGTTTTCTTGGACTACAACCTCCAGAATGCCCCAACCAAAATGATCAGTGACCATTTAGCCTGAGGGTTCTGGACTGTGTGGTTTAAACACATGTCAGACTTCGCTATGAATCATAAAATAATGAATTTGGAAGGGACTTAAGGCCATCAAGTCCTTGGGGAGCTTGAAGGGAAGTGCCATATTGGATTGGCATTTGCTTTTATATAGGGCTGTGTGTGTATGCGTGAAATGTCAAATATGACAAAGGAAAATAGAATATTTTCTAATAATGAGACTTAAATGCTTTCAAGTCAGTTCAAGATTACGGTACTACTCCTGGGTTTTGCAGGATATAAAATATTCAGAAGTGATATATTAGCTTCTTGGTGGTTCATTCACACCAAGTCATGAATATATGATTCCTAGTTTACCCAGATTCCTACTTCTCCCATTTCATGTTTCAGTTATTTGTATTTGACACCACTGCCTTTTCATTTCATGTTTGTACACATCAAGAGCTGAATTCCTTCGGACTTTAATCCTGCCGCTTCATTAAGAAGAACACTACTTGTACTTATTGCTCTTTCTTTGCACTTTTTCATCTACAAAAGTTTGGGTAATTGGGGAACGTATTCCTTCAGAATAACAATGAATCAGTTAAGGAAGTGTTCAGTCACAGTTCCTGTGCTGTGTATTCTCAGAAATGTCTTTTTTTTATATTGGTAAAATTTGCCCAACAGTATCATCTGCTCAAATATAAATCAAGTTTGAAGGATTATCTTTGCAGAATGAATGCATTTAAGGGAGGTTAATCTTTCCAGGTTTCAGCTATAATGTCATTATGGTTAGGGTGTAGAATAGTTTTGCAGCCTTGTAACCTGCAGCGGTTTTGAAACCTACCAGGCCCAGCTACCATGGCCAGTGGTCTGATATCTGGGGAATTGGAGCCCAAAACATCTGGAGGGCACCAAGCTGACGAAGGCTGGGGTAGAAAGTCTAAGGATAGAGTCCATAGAAGGAGGAGAAGACAGAAAGAGTGAGGAGGAGCAAGGGATCAAGGATATGACAGTTACAAAAGAGGCAGGAGAAGTAGAATCAAAGTAAAAGATGGAAAAAAATAGAGGTTTGCTTAGTAGAAGAGGATAAAACGAAAGAGTGGGCAGAGCAAGGAGGGAGGTTAATCTTTCCAGGTTTCAGCTATAATGTCATTATGGTTAGGGTGTAGAATAGTTTTGCAGCCTTGTAACCTGCAGCGGTTTTGAAACCTACCAGGCCCAGCTACCATGGCCAGTGGTCTGATATCTGGGGAATTGGAGAATAGTTTTGCAGCCTTGTAACCTGCAGAGGTTTTGAAACCTACCAGGCCCAGCCAGTGGTCTGATATGCGGGGAATTGGAGCCCAAAATATCTGGAGGGCACCAAGCTAAGGAAGGCTGGGGTAGAAAGTCTAAGGATAGAGTCCATAGAAGGAGGAGAAGACAGAAAGAGTGAGGAGGAGCAAGGGATCAAGGACGTGACAGTTACGAAAGAGGCGGGAGAAGTAGAATCAAAGTAAGAGATGAAAAAAATAGAGGTTTGCTTAGTAGAAGAGGATAAAACGAAAGAGTGGGCAGAGCAAGGGGTGACAGTGTGGGAGGAGGATATACGCGAGGAAGGGGTATGCTGGTTCAGTTCAGTTGTGGCAGATTATGAGAGAAAGAGGGCAGAAGTGTGGAGAAAGGAAATTGAGAACATAAAAACCCAAGGACTTTTAAGAGACTTCCCAAACTTAAAGGTGGTAGGATTGTTACCGGAACGCAATCCCAAGGAAATCAGACTGACTCAGTTCTTAACTAAAGAATGGACTGTGATTGTGGCGCTATGCGAGCTTGAATTGCAGAGAGAAGCTGAGATAGCCCATAATTGATTTTATGAAAGACAGACGAGAGAGGGTGGATTAGACACGTGTATTGTGGGGACGATCTGTGCCCTGAGAAGTACACCTCCCCAAAGACAGGGAATGGTGTGGGGGACATCCCCGTTGAGTCCGTGGGAGTATGGGAAAAGTTTCAGTTCTGTCAGTTGTGGCCTGTTGCCAGAGTTAAGAATTTTCGACCCTATGAACAATGTGCTGCAGGAAATGAGTGACAATAAAAACGATAGTCTGAAAGTTATAAAAACGTCTCCTCTGTTATTTCCCGCTGAAGGTGAGGGCTGCCTAAAGAAGTCGAAGAACCCAATCACACCTTACAACAAATGTTTCTGCTGTGTGTTTTTTTAAAAGTGCCTATTGATCTAACTTTCATCAGATACACCTATTGCTTTTTGTAAAAAATGGCCTGGAGATTAGAAGTACAGTGGGGTCTTGACTTGAGAACTTAATCTGTATTGGAAGGCGGTTCTCAAGTCAAAAGGTTCTCAAGTCAAATCTGCATTTCCCATAGGAATGCATTGAAAACCATTTGATCCGTATCTGCTCTTTTCCGTCCATAGAAACTAATGGGAAGCTGCTATTCTGCCTTCGACCACTAGATGGGGAAAAGTGCCTATTGATCTAACTTTCATCAGATACACCTATTGCTTTTTGTAAAAAATGGCCTGGAGATTAGAAGTAGTAAAACTGCCACTTTTTCACAATAACATTAGCTGAGTAAATGAGCTATTTTTATGGAGAAGAATATAATGCAATAAATTGATATGGAATCCCACTGTTTGATGGTAGCCTGAAAAATTCTTAGGTATTGATTAGCTTCAGATTTTAAGATTTGGAATAAGTCAAAACACTATCTCCCTGGAGTCCTGTAATGGTAAACAGTAAACACTGATATACTTTATATACTGTACTTTGAAACCATATGTATGTATAAAATAACCTTAGATGGACCAAAGTATTATTCATATCAGCTAGTATCTGTTTTGTGGTCCTCACTTTTGTTTATGTTCCATGGCTTCTTTTTGTTTTTAGCTGCTGGGGATATCACTAAGCATACTGACTGTTGTCATGTACTATGGGAAGCACTTCACTATCATGAAAGATGTCTCCTTGGAGAAAAGCTCATATTACAGAACCTTTCACAGTGCAGGTGAGTGTTTGGGACTCTGGCAAATAAAAATCCTCCTTACAATACACTATCCCATTTGCAGTACAAATTTATAATTCAGTTCCTTAAAAAAAAACACCTTCTGATTTGTGAATGTGGGATATTGGGCTTCTGTACCTGCAATTCAAAACACCAGGAAATGGCCAGATATTGCTGAACAGTATCATGTCCACATTGCCAGCAGGAAAAAGGACACTAGGTTTTACATAGCAAAGGGCAGCCTGAAGGTTGACAACACCACCAGCAAGATATCTACAGGATGCCCTCTTGTGCTCGCTACCGTTCACAAAGTGACACAAGCAGGGGAAAATTCTAGAAGTGGACTCCCTTTTTAATCAGTCAACAACCTCTCACCTAAACAAATTGTCAGGGCTTTTTTTAACAAATTCTCTAGGTCAGGGGTCCCCAACCCCCGGTCCGTGGCCCAGTGCCTGTCTATGGGCTTCCTGAAACTGGGGCGCAGAAACGGATCTCCATCCCCCGCACGGTGGGCATGTCGTGTTTGCAGAGGGGCATGTCATGCTTGCGGAGGGGCGTGTCACACTTGCAGAGGGGCATGACACGCCCACCAGTGAGCACGGTTTGGGGACTAGGGGCGTGTCACACTTGCAGAGGGGCATGACACACCCACCAGTGAGCACGGTTTGGGGACCGCTGCTCTAGGTATCTATTGCTTGGAAAATGGGAACAGTGTCTCTTTGTGAAATGGTAGTGACCACAAACCATATCCTGTATCCTTTGCTATATAAAGTTTGGAATCCTTTTTCCCGCTGGAAATATGGGCACAATACTGTGCAACAATAGCAGGCCATTTCCTGGTGGTCTGAATTGTAGGTAGAAAAGCACAATATTCCATATTCACAAATCGAATGGTTTTTGAAGAATTGAAAATTTTTGGCTCTTTAAAATGGAAGTTTGAGTGTGCACACACTTCATACAGATTCCAATAGAAACTTCCCTCATGTAGAATTATTCACTGCTAGGTGATCACATGATCTGTACTGTGAAACAGTATGAAACAGATTGACTCAATATAGAACATGACATGATCTGTACTATGATTGCTGGGAGAGAACAGAAGCAAGAACCTAGTATGAGACAGATTGACTCAATATAGGAAGCCAGAGCTGTTAGGTTGCAAGATCTGAGCAGAAATTACTGGAAAAGACAGTATCACTGTGGAGGAAAAGGTGGCAGCAGTAAGAGAGAATGAGCTAACATGAGACTCTGGTTTGTAGAATCTACATGATCTGTACTATGATTGCTGGGAGAGAACAGAAGCAAGAACCTAGTATGAGACAGATTGACTCAATATAGGAAGCCAGAGCTGTTAGGTTGCAAGATCTGAGCAGAAATTACTGGAAAAGACAGTATCACTGTGGAGGAAAAGGTGGCAGCAGTAAGAGAGAATGAGCTAACATGAGACTCTGGTTTGTAGAATCTGAGCAGAGCTGTCAGTGGGAAGACATTTTAGAGGACATTACCTCATATATAGTCGTCAGACATCAGAAGTGATTTGATGGCTCATAACATCTTTGGAATTTTTTTAAAATTAACAAATAATTATATAATGATAAGATGTGTGGAATGGTTGAGACTATATCAGGATATAGGCACCAAAGCTCTGCTAACATAAAATAAGACCATCCTTGGTCACAAAGCAAAAAACAGTAATTTCACAGTTTACATGAATGAGCTCCTGAATATTTGTTTTCTGTTCTTTTAAAAATATTTTTCCAACCAGACATACAATACCTTTGCAAGCACAAACTTCTATTTGGCCAGGAAGGAATTAAAAATTAAATTGGATCCTGTTTGTCTGATTCAAAAGTTCAGACTGCCTCAGACCTGGAACTAATTTCTCATACAGAAATTTTGAGAGAATGTTTGTGAACAAACACAACTGCTATGTACTTTTCTAATAGAAAGGGAAATACTTTGAATATGCCTTACGGATTTGTGTGCTAATTCCCCCTGCTAATTCTTTTCTGGAGGACTGTCATTCCATTACTTTGTTTGAAGCAAACTTAGATTTTTTTTTAAAAAAAACAACTTTTCATGTGGGCTATGATCTTTAGTTGCCCTGCGCACTCAGCTACAATATAGCCTTTGCCAAAACCATTCTTCTTGGCAAGCCTGTACTACATATGCTTTGTGTAGTACAGGAAATAACTGTTTCTGCCATGTTCAAATGGGAATATTTCAGCACCTGCAGCTTGAATTCTTTCCAAATAAAGAAAAGTGGGTGGGGCTAACAATTCTCTTTCAAGATAAGCAATATAATATTTTCAAATTGAGCTATTTTAAATCTGGGGTAGCTTGGGGTTGCCTATTTCTGAACAACGGGTAAAACAATTTTACATACAAAATGATAATTGCCAGTGAGTAGTGAGCTTCTTCGAGTGACACACCTTTGTGCATGCTTATTTGTCTACTATCTTTGTTCTTCAGTGTGCTCCATTGGCCTATGTCTGAGCATTATTCTGGTCTTTGCTGCCTTGCTGAGTATTGTTGCCACAGTGAGAGAACTGGAGAGTGCCATGGCAGTGGTAAGTAGATAGAAAGTCATACTGAGTTGCCAAACTGACAACATTAGAGTTTGGGAGAGAGTTTAACCAGTTAGGATAGAGGGAAAAGCAGCATTCTAGTTTTTCAAACAACAACAATAACAGAGCTAAATGGGGCTCACTTCACACTGGAACCCATCCCAGGGGAAATGTTATATCATAATTAGAAAGCAGCATGTATTGTCTTTTCAAAATGTCATAATATGTGCCTTTGTATAAACTTTCATTTTGTGAGCCCCAGGTCAGTTTATACTGCAATGTTAAAACAGAGGTCTTTTGATGAAAAGAAGGCTTTTGGGGTCAGACATTCTGAGCTGCTGACACCTGCATCTAGCCCCCACCTGGCACAGCATAAGAATAGAAATTCCATCTTGTAACATCAGAGCCACATGTAAGAGAAGGGAGTCTGAGAGCAGGGTGTATAATCAATTTCTCTCTCACTTGCTCGCTTGCACACAACTGTTGTGGAAAATACATGGCCCTTCCCTCACAGATGTCTTAACCTCTCTAGAAAAGATGATGGATGTGACCAGGGGCCTTTTTGGATGTGATAGTTTCTTCTAACGTAACTTCTTTTGCACATTTTTTGGCTGCTTTACAACTCCATCAACCAATTCCAATATGGTTTAAAATTCCTCACCATGTTATGGATTCATTTTATGCATTTGTTGTGTGGTTCAGACAGCACAGCCAATGAATGCTGCTTCTGAGAGCTATAATCCAAGAACATATGGGGGCCTACAGGTTGGGAACTTTCTTATATAGAACAGTGGTTCCCAACCTTGGGTAACGCAGGTGTTCTTGAACTGCAACTCCCAGAAGGCTTCAGCACCAGCTGTGCTGGCTGAGGTGTCTGGGAGTTGCAGTCCAAGAACACCTGGGTTACCCCAGGTTGGGAACCCCTGATATAGATGAAAGTAGAAGAGATAGAATAGAAAAGAAACCAGATGGTGTCGGAAGAACAATTCTGAGGCAATTATTAGCAATCTCCACAAGTCTATACATTACTATTTAAAATGTACAAAAGAGTAGCACATGGGACTTTGGCACTGGAGGCACTTCACCTTCACATGCAAGACTAAAAAGAGGCTGAGTGAAATCCCATTATGCCTGTGGAAGAGCGATGTCACCAGCAGCTGTCCTGTGACTTTTCAAACTGCCATGTAGTCTTTCATTGTGTGGAAGTCGTGGGAAAATCTCTCCTGTTGGTAATAACATCCAGTGGCAGCATTTTTTAAATTAATTACTTCTTCCTTCTGTTCTGTGGCTCCCTGTCACGCTGGTTCTATGTGATGAAAGGAATTGCACAGGTATTAAAGAAGTCACAGGAGAGAAGTGGGAAGTTTTTATTTACCAAAATTAATTGCCAAAAAGTGCTCCCTGTCTGTGACATCGTCACCCATCCACAGGTGTAAGTTGCACAATAGGATTCTGCTATTGTTTTAAGCTCCAATTTTATGGTCAGTTATGGATAGTGAAATACAGTTGTTGCTGAATTCCTCCATTCTTGTAGTAAGTCTCTGCAAGTTAAACTAGATGTTACAATGACTATATATTTCCTAGAATTACGGTAACCTGTTTCCCCACCAATAGGATTTCTGAAGATGTTTGCCGCTGCCATTAGATTTGCAAATCAAGCCCCTGTTTGCTTCCCAGTTTTCATCACACTAAATGCAAGATAGATGACTAGATAAGAAAGATCACATGTTCTGACAAACATACAACTTTCAGCAATTGGGAGAGCAGCGCTCTCTCTCTCTCTCTCTCTCTCTCTCTCTCTCTCTCTCTCTCTCTCTCTCTCTGTGTGTGTGTGTGTGTGTGTGTGTGTGTGTGTGCGTGTGCGTGCGTGCGTGCATGTGTGTGTGTGAAACCTTACATATGGTAAATGTACCATTGGGTTTGATTCTAAGCTCTGGGACAAATGAAGGAGAAGTGTTTTTCTGGGGAAAAAATACTTATTCTTTCCCATAGCTCTCCACTATGTACTTTGATTACTTCATGTATTTGTGAAGAGAAAATATTATATGTGGAAATCTGCCATCAAGAGCATGGCAAGCAGCCAATAGGAATGGTATAATTTGACTTTCAGAAAATGGTAATGGCTGCTGTCTGTCATACTGTCTGAGTACAGAGCATTCATCTTTTGTTAGCTCTAAAACATTTGTACAAGAATTGCAGGTTTTCGAGATGAATCTCTTGTGCTTTAGTAAAACACTAATGTTTGCTCCGAAATATCAGACCATGCCAGCTTGATTGTCATGTTCCACAGGCAGAGAGCACTAAGTCTCTTTGCAATGGCCAGAAAAACCCAAAGGACAAAGGTGGCAAAGAGGCATCAAATAACATTGGCTGATAGAGATAAGGATGATTCAGGCTCAGTTCAATCACTACATCATCCAGCAACATCAACACAGATAGAGAGGGGCTGCTAGACACTCCTCCATCCTTACCACTTTCTCCATCTGAGTAGGGATAGGTCTGAAGAACAGAGATTCCTGCTTATTCATGATCTTTCTTGGGCCAGATTTCCCAATGTTCTTGCTTGTGTGTATAGCCTACACATGAGCAGAAACCTCTCTTCTTCAGACTTGTCACTGTTGTCATGGAGATGAAGTGATGAAGGTGGGATGGAGTTAACCTGCCCCTTCTGTGCATGTTCATACCATCAGCTCACATAATGTCTGAATACAACTTCAGATTTCTGATGCCTTGGTTATTGAGTTGTGGTTGGGTTTTGAGGGGAGGGTAAAAATTAAGGCACCGTTAAACTCAATAATACATGTTAGTTAGTCCCATCACCACCAAAGAGTGAACAGGCATACTCTTCGTTGCTTCAGGATAGCTCATACTGTCCTCTGGAGTCCTGCTTGTCCCTTTGCCCAGCCAGTCAGAAATGGTGTTGGATTCTCTGGGCAACTGTGATGCTTTCTAGGATTGCTTTTAATGCCTGCCAGCTGATACGCAGCATCTAGGAATAAATCCCAGGACAAACTTATTTTCTGCCGTGAGATGATGCCACCAACACATATGGGTTGGAGAAGGCGCTTTTCCACAGGGATGGGAAACCTTTGGGTCACCAAATGTTTTAGCCTGCAGCTTCCCTCAGTCTCACCCAGTATAGCATTTGGGAAGTTGTCCTTTAAAATGCCTGAAGGGACAAAACCTATCCACTTTTGCCATGCAGGACTGTGCTGTTTCAACAGGCCCAGAATGGTGGATGCATCTCACATGATGGTTTATTGTTGAGCAAGCAAGCTTCAGCCCCTCCCACACCACCCTGTAGGAACCACTTGTTTAAATGCTCCATGAGTTCTTTAGGCCTCGAACTCTGTCCTTGGGTAACTCTATCAACCATCTCTCTCTGTTCTTTCAAACTGCAACTCAAAACGTGGGTCTTCACTTCAACTGGGTCCAAGGTTAGACTGGAACTCCCATCATCCCTCCCCACAGGCTATCCTGGTAGGACCGATGAGAGTGGCAATCCAAAAAAAAATTGCAACTGGAAGGCTGTACGTTGCTTACCTTTCCATTTAATCATAATCTCCAACTAAAACCAAGCTGACTTCCAGTCTCTTTGTTTGTTTGTTTACCCTGCTCCTTTTTTTTTCCTTTAGTTTTCCTAGTCCTCCCTTCTGTTCAAATTTTGATTGCATTTTCCTTAAAAATAGTCTTTTTGTTTAGGCTACAAAATATGGCACAATGTGGTACCCCAGGGTGCTGCCAAATGTATCCAGGGTGCTGCAGAATCCTCAGAAGTACTGCTCAGGCCAGGCTTCGCACTCCTTCTCCTCCCTCACCCAAAGTATCACATTGGGGAGCCGCAGCCAATGGCCAGTAAGTCAAGGAAAACACAAGTCAAAAATGTTTGGGAACCACTGGACACTATTTGGCCTACATTTCACATCAGCCCCACCTTGCATGAGATTTTTAGAGTTGTGCTGTGACAATGTGGGCAAATAGTTCAGGATTTGCTGCGGAAGTAAAATTTCATTTTTAAATTTAAATTTAAAACATTTCATTTTTTAAAAGCATTTCTCTTTTTTTCCACTGATCAGACAATGCAAAGGCCAGTGCAAATCAGCGTGGTCCTCTTTGCTTCTGCAGCAAAGTTTTTTCCCCTGCTGCTGGGGGCTTCTGATTTTTTTTCAAAACTGGTAAAGTCATTGCTAGTACTGTATAGTCACAGGCTGGGTTTGCTCAAGATATTGAACACAATATTCACAGTTTCACCACTAGAGGGGGCGTAATTCCTAAAAATGGAAACAAATCCATGCTACTAATTAGCTCCCCACATTCTCTTTCTGTTTTATAATATCTGTGACTTCACTCTTTCTCATCCCAGCAATGTAATGTTCTTGTATTATGCTTTGCTGACTCAAACCTAATTCTAGTGTTTGCATTCAGAGTTGGAAATGTATATATTTGTAACACAGGAGTATTAATTACAGGTAAACAAATGAAACCTGGCATAGGAAATAAGTTTTAAAATTGCAATAGCCATGGGAGTTACCAGTGAATGCTCTACATATACAGTACATGGAAACACAGGGATGACTTACACACATTGCAAGGCAACACAGAAAATACACATTTGAGCATGTTTTGTTTTATTTTGTTACAAGAAAAAAGGTATTTATAAAGACTATACAAACATCAGAATGTTTACTGTTGTTCCACAAGGATCACAGTAAATAAGCGCATATTGCATTTCTTTCTATAATTATATACTTGGAGGTTGCTTACATCCTCACCCAAATACAGCTCTATGTTTTCGCTGTGTAGTTGCGATCTAGTAGAGCTATACACAATCAACACTGGGATTTCTAGGAGAGCCGCATAGATAGATTGCCAACTGGATCTGTTTTGCAAAATGGCTTCCTTATGAAGAGTTATTCCCCACTATATCAACAAAGAGTGAGGGGACTGGTGTACATAATGACAAAATTCTCCAGTCAAACCCACAAAGCATCAACTGGAATGAATTCCATTATATCAGGAATAAGACTTATGTATATTTCAACAAAAGGGGAACATGAACTAAAAGAAGGGAGCTGATCCTTCTCTTTTGTGGTGCTGCTTTCTCCTTTGGCAGATTGTGTGTGTTGATGAAATATAGAAGAGAGGGCTATCAACTGCACAACTGGATGCTTTCTCACTGTGACTTCAGAAATCCTGATGCCAGTTGACTGCCATGGGTGCTTGAGTCAAAGAAGAGTAGAGCACTCTGTCCTCCCAATATTTGTGTGTGTGTGTGTGTGTGTGTGTGTGTGTGTGTGTGTGTGTGTGTGTGTGTGTGTGTGTGTGAGAGAGAGAGAGAGAGAGAGAGAGAGAGAGAGAGAGAGATATTTCTGTACTTCACAGAACAAGAAGAGAGAAAAGGAGATCTTAATTGAACAAGTTGGCCAAGCTGCCATAACAGAAAGGGGTACTGAGAGTTAGAATAGGCAGAATATGCCCCTGAAAGAGAAATATGGCTTTGGTTTTCCATATGTAAATAAAGGTTTTCACGCTTATTTGTAGTGGATAAGCACTGGTTCTGTGAAACGTTTCCTGCGCTTACTTTATCAGCAGAGGAAACTCATCACAAGAAACCAAAGTGAAATAATTGCTTTTGTTTTGAAAACCAGGGGCACGACCCAGTGGACTGGCTTCCTATATAAGCCCTGAAAACAGTTCCCTACATAACGGTGTTCAAGGAGAAGGCAGAGAGAGAAGGAAGCACTTTGGAACAGTATACTTGCACTGTTCTAGTAACTTCCAGGGCTTGACACTGTGATCAATAGATTAAGTGACTGAAACATTCATCATCATTTTTTCTAAACAGTTGGCCACTTCCATCCTACCCCCCTAGCAGTTTTCAAGTCTACAAACCCATGTAAGCAATGTAATGAGGCTGTCTGTTGAGTACTGAGTAGTGTGACTTTGCGCATAACAAATAATGTTTACTGTGATTTCTTAACTTGAGGAAATGTGCCTTCAAAAGTTGCACCACTAGTTCTATGCCACCATAACATCTGAATAAGATTTTGGCTAATATTTTAGACAGACTTGCCTTCTAAAAGGCGGTAGCTGTCAATTATGAACTGCAACTTACCTTTCATGTAATGTTTCCAAAACTTATTTACACTGAGCTCCTAAGAACATGTGACATTGTTAGAATTTGATCGGTTGGTTATGATAAATCAGCTACAGTGTTGTGGAAGAGAGAGAGGAAAGATAGAAAATGAAGATACCAGTGTAAGAAAGAGAAAGACAGAGATATAAGAGGAGATAGTGTGTGAGAAAGGAAATGTGTGAGAAAGTGGTATGCAGAATGGAGAAACGGAGAAGATAGGGAAACAAGGGGAAGAAGAATAAATTGAATCAACAGGTTATAGAGAAAGAGCTTTTGTGTATCTAAGGTGGAGTCATATTACTCACTGATTAATAGGCTAGGTTGGTGAGATGGTTACTCCATGTATATGTTGAAATTTTAATAACCGTTGATCAAGGCCTCATATATCTTTTGGTGGTACTTCTCTAGTGGAATTGATAATATCTTTTGCAACTGTTCTCATAGGACTAGTTTTCATTTCATCAAACTGAGCTCTTATTCTTTAAAAAAAACAGACACACTGCACATAAATACAAACCTTTTAAGCATCAGTGATAGCATTTCCCACAAGTAATTATTCTAATTCCATCTTTTGTTTGGCTGTAGGGATTCTTTTGTTTTGCAGTGGTGTTCTGCGCATCAGTACAAGCAACATATTGGACAATTACCAACAGCATTGTGGTAAGTAGAACTGCATGATAAAACTCCTGTGTAGCACAATATATAGAAATATAACAGTAGTCATCAATATCATTGTTACAGTTCTTCACATCTGAATTAGAAAATTCTTGCTAATTTGAAATGAAAACCAGAAGCCAATTTCAAGAGACTTATACAAGCCCCTGTGCCTCTTTCTAGCACTATTCCTCTGCATGCCTCTACAGAAGATCAGTAAACACAAACATAGCCAGGATACTACTGAGCCATTATAGATGGGTGCAATTTTTCAAGCTTGCATGAGAAAGAATCCAATACTTCACTACAAGCTCCAGCTGCACAGTGGAACTGATTTCACCAACAGTGGCAGATTGCTGCTCATTAGAATGTCCTTTTTTCAATTTGAGGTGCGTGTGCAATTTGCACACAGTAATATAATGTCCCTCATATGATGAAAGTGAAAAAGAAACTCTTTGATTAGCACCAATCTGCCACTGCCAGTGACGTCACACCTACTGCTGTGGCAGAGGTACACAAAAGGATTTTTTTTAATTTAAAACATTTTTATTCTGCCTTTCTTCTTAAAAATAACCTAATTATATGAGAGAATTGTAGAGCCCAAGAATCATTGAGTCAAATTCACTTGTCCAAAACAGAAAATGCAGTAAAATGAGTATTACAATTGCTTGGAAAAGTTCCTTAGATGGATGCAGTTCCCATAATTTCCTCCTCTGAATTTACAGCTACGCATTAACTGCTACACAGAATTTGCAAGCAGCTTTGCAAGGATTAGGGACATGGTGGCGCTGTGGTCTAAACCGCAGAAGCCTGTGCTGCGAGGACCAGCAGTTGTAAGATCGAATCCATGCGACAGAGTGACCTCCTGCCGCTTTGTCCCAGCTCCTCGCCAACCTAGCAGTTTGAAAGCATGCAAATGCGAGTAGATAAATAGGGACCACCTCGGTGGGAAGGTAAAACGGCGTTCCCTAGTCACGCTGGCCATGTGACAACGGAAACTGTCTTCAGACAAGCGCTGGCTTTACGGCTTGAAAACGGGATGAGCACTGCCCCCTAGAGTCGGACACGACTGGACTAAAAATGTCAAGGGGAACCTTTACCTTTACAAGGATTAGGTATTCCTACAATTGTAACATTTACCACAAGTCTTTGGTTTCATATCTCTGAGCTTCTGTTAAATTGTGGATTGGTTGTTCTGAGTTTTTCGGGCTCTTTGGACGTGTTCTGAAGGTTGTTCTTCCTGACGTTTCGCCAGTCTCTGTGGCCAGCATCT